GGACGTGGAACAATCTACGCTTGCAGGTGATAGCGATACCGACGCACTGTGGGTGCTGACACACGGAGGCGGTGAAACAGGCTCTATGAAAATAGGAAGTAGTCCGCCTTCATTTGTGAGTAAAGTACGTGATGTTCTAATAAAATTAACAAAATAATATTGTACAATATGCGTTATAACATGCTAACGTTTTGTGGGCCTCTGGAATGGGCATGATACCCAATTTACGGCGGGAAATAGAGTAAGATGATTGGTATTTACGGCCTTGGTTCCATGCAGTCACTCAGAAAGCTTATTGCTTCACTAAATCTAAATGTGTTTTTACGTCTTGAGGTAGATGCGGATCCACTTGCAACATATTCATTTCTTTTTTTCCTATCTTTCATGTAGCAATCCTTTAAGTACTTCTATCGTTTTTTGACACCATCAACGTCCATGGTTCCTTTATGGTATTGCAAATATTACAAAAGATTATGTTATTCAATGAACATACATACATACATACATACATACATAAATACAATACATACAATACACGCAAATCTGTAATAAATACATAATAATTACACAATTTCGTACCTCCCATAACATTGCATACTTCATTCCAGAGAGCATTCTTTTTTATCATTGTTTGTTCACTAAGTAATAGCCTATAATCGTACAATGCAGGCTTCTGGGCCACGCAAGCTATTAGTATTTCGTCAGCTGTTGCTTCCGTACCCTGCGTCAATTCACCTTCCAACATGTATATCTGATCTTCCATTTCATCGCAGGTTTTATTACCTGCAAAATATACATCCCTGATAGAAAAGAATGATTCTGATCGATCATCATGGTTGTAAGGTTTATAAAGACGCATTGAACGAAAATATCTATTTGATTTTTGGTGACGTTACCAAGGTCAGGTCAAGGTCAACTTAATTTTTTTTAATGGAACGTCCTATTTTTCATTGCATATTCTTGTAGCTCATCTCGAGAGCTTTTCAAAGCACTATAATAAAATATTTTTTTATTCAGTATTTTTCGAGTTATTTTATATTTTAATCTGATATTTTGATATTAAAAATAAAATATTTAGTAAAATACTTAGTTTTTAATAATCTTACGTAATACTTTTATGTACAGAATAATGAGACAGATCAATTAGTGTCAAAAAAACAAATAATTGTTTAAAAAACTACATTGTAAAGAATTGCATACTTTTTCTTAAAAACAACTATTTTTTTTATACCAATTGATTTGTCTCATTATTCTGTACATAAAAGTATTACGATAAAATTATCAAAAACTAAATAATTTTATTTTTTATATTTTTATTTTTTATATCAAAATATGTGTAAGATATAAAATAACTCGAAAAATGCTTAATGGAAAAATACTTTATTATAGTGTTTTGAAAAGCTCTCGAGATAAGCTACAAGAATATGCAATGAAAAATAGAGCGTCTCATTTAAAAAAATTAAGTTGACTTGACCTTGGTAATACCACCAAAGATCAAATAGTTATAATCGTTCAATGCGTCTTTGTAAACCTTACAACTTGTCTGAAACTTTCTTTTCAAAATTATGTAAATATTAATATAAATATATAAATTATATAAAGATTAAATATATTAAAAAAGTAACATAATCTAATTAAAATTCTCTCTTATGAAAAGTAAACAAGTAATTTAATTTCCAAAAAGGATTAAAATTAAAAACTGAAATTAATTTTCTTAACTGATTGTAACTACAATTTATAATAATGATAATATTTCTTACTATTTGTGATATTTTCTTGTTCATGTTGGTTCTCGTTCAAGTCAATTCTCTTTATTCACGAAGATAGTCACCTATCAATTTCTTGATCATGATCAATTTTGTTTTATCGCTTTTAGGGTGCCGTCCCATGGCGCGTATTGCGATACGCGCGTATCGGGCGTATCGAACTCTGCGACCAATCACAGATGTTCCGCTCAGTGATGCCAGAAACGGGTCCCGCGGCTCACGGCTCAGCAATGGAAGGGGTAACGCACACAAGCGCGAGCCGCGTATATGTGGCACATGTACGCGGTTCGCGCTTATGTGTGTTACCCCTTCCATTGCTGAGCCGTGAGCCGCGGGACCCGTTTCTGGCATCACTGAGCGGAACATCTGTGATTGGTCGCAGAGTTCGATACGCCCGATACGCGCGTATCGCAATACGCGCCATGGGACGGCACCCTAAAAGCGATAAAACAAAATTGATCATGATCAAGAAATTGATAGGTGACTATCTTCGTGAATAAAGAGAATTGACTTGAACGAGAACCAACATGAACAAGAAAATATCACAAATAGTAAGAAATATTATCATTATTATAAATTGTAGTTACAATCAGTTAAGAAAATTAATTTCAGTTTTTAATTTTAATCTACAGTCCCATGGAGCGGATTACGCGGAAGCGGATCCAGCGGATCGCCAATCACGGAGTTGTCCCGATAGATCTCTTTCAAAGATTACATCGAAGCAGTCCTGTGATTTGCGATCCGCTGGATCCGCTTCCGCGTAATCCGCTCCATGGGACTGTAGGAACCAAACTCCGGTGTACTGAACACACGCACATAAGCACGCATGCACCTAAAAAGTAAAGTTTTCAGAAGCCAGTTGTTTGCAAATATTAATAAAGTAAAAAGTGAAAGTTTCAAAACTGCTGTTGGTGTTACTTTGAAAAGTTTTAATAAAGAGAATAGTAAAAAATAGTTTACAGTAAATAGAAGTAAATAAATTATGATATATTAAATTAGATTAATGTGTATATTATCTCTTGGATGTTTATTTCCATTCCTACTGCACGTATATAATTTTATTTCGATAGTCTTTTTTTCTTAATCATATAAATTATATTATATTATATAAAATATAATAAATTATATTAATTATTTTTTTTACATATACATATAAAGATACGACGATACATATGTATGAGTGTGCGATCCGCTCGAATTATGAATTCAGCGGATTGTCGGCGTATCAAAAACGGTGGATCATCTGTGTGTCGCAGAGTTCGATACGCCTGATACGCGCGTATCGCAATACGCGCCATGGGACATCACCCTTAGGGTGCGAACCCATGCAGCGGAATAGCGTAACGCAGAACGAGAGCGGAACCAATCGCGAGCGTTCTGCAGTTTTCGCAACGAGGATTCCAAGTCCCTACATCCCCATGGAACGTAACGAGCGCATCGCGGACCAATGTGCAACCAATCACGAGTCGTTATTTCAAAAGGGTCAAAACCGCGTTGAAACTTATTCAAATTATTTAACATTTTTAATCAATATTTCCAATAAGAAGTATTCATTTCAATATTTATGTATATGATAATAAAAAACGATCGATAAAAACAATATTTGAAAGTCACTTTAGAAATGTTCTGCTCGTTCTGCTTGCGCTCATTCCGCTCCATGGGGATGTAGGGACTTGAAATCCACGTAACGAAAATGACGTAACTGTATGTATGTACACATATACTTTGTTAAATTGGCAGCGTAGAGCAACGTGGTCAGTACAGAAACAGAGATAAATTATTAATTATTACAAGTTATTACTCATTTTTGAGAGATAAAGAAAAATTTTGAAGTTAGCTTTTACTACCATGTGTATATGTATAGATGTGTATGTATATTACGTATAACTACCGAAAACGGAACGAAACTGTGGAACGCTCGTGAGTGCTCTCGTTCCGCGTAATGACTTCTGCACACAGGACGCGGAAACGCTTGCCGCACAGCAAAAGGCGACGCGGTAGCCAATCAATTTTTCGCTCTAATGGAAAAGTTGTAAGTTGATTGGCTACCGCGTCGCCTTTTGCCGCGCGGCAAGCGTTTCCGCGTACCGTATGCAGAAGCCATTATGCTATTCCGCTGCATGGGTTCGCACCTTTAGCGGAATAGGTTTCGCAGGTCGCGTAATGTACGTACACATCTATACATATACACATGGTACTAAAAGCTAACTTCAAAATTTTCCTTTATCTCTCAAAAATAAGAAATAACTTGTAATAATTAATAATTTATCTCTGTTTCTGTACTGACCACGTTGCTCTACGCTGCCAATTTAACAAAGTATATGTGTACATACATACAGTTCCGTCATTTTCGTTACGTGGATTTCAAGTCCCTACATCCCCATGGAGCGGAATGAGCGCAAGCAGAACGAGCAGAACATTTCTAAAGTGACTTTCAAATATTGTTTTTATCGATCGTTTTTTATTATCATATACATAAATATTGAAATGAATACTTCTTATTGGAAATATTGATTAAAAATGTTAAATAATTTGAATAAGTTTCAACGCGGTTTTGACCCTTTTGAAATAACGACTCGTGATTGGTTGCGCATTGATCCGCGCTGTGCTCATTACGCTCCATGGGGATGTAAGGACTTGAAATCCATGTTGCAAAAACTGCGGAACGCTTGTGATTGGTTCCGCTCTCGTTACGCGTTACGCTATTCCGCTGCATGGGTTCGCACTCTTAGGCCGGTTCTACAATAAGTCGTATGTCGTTAGCCGTAAGCAAATTGACCAACCACAGTCAATATTTTTTGGAATTATCGACTAATTGGTCAATTTCCTTACGATTAACGACATACGACTTATTGTAGGGCCGGCCTTATTGACAGCTGTCAGGCTGTACGTGTGACGTTTGTATTCTAACATGGCGGCTATTTTAATCGACCAATCAGAAAGTGGAACAAGTTGGCGCCTCTCTGATAATCTAGGACTCTAGAATATTCTTGGAATAATCGACTGTGATTGGTCAATTTGCTTGCGGCTAATGACTAACGACTCATTGGGTGCTTTCCATTTAGTGACTCAAGTCGACACAAGCATCATTCTATCTTTGTTGTTCACTGGTATTAAAAGAAGATAGAATGATACTTGTGTCGACTTGAGTCACTAAATGGAAAGCACCTATTATAAACCGGGCATTAACAGTTGTGTTTCTTGAACGCACCCTATATTGGAACATCACGTCGAATTTAATATCAACCTCAAATACAGGTTACTTTCACGCGTGTATTTGCAATTACATATGTGAGCTTAGGGATCTTGTTAAAACTTGGCCTTTCAATTTCCTACGATTGTGTATTTTAAAAAACTTGATAAATACAAGAGATACATCATATTTTTATAATTCGAGGTAAGTCTCCTTTAAACACGCTCTAATTTTTAGGATTATATATATATATATATAATGTGTGTACATATGTATATATATATGTGTACATATCTATAGAGTTTACGTAAAGATTCTCATATAACATTACCTATAGTAAAACATCTTGTCGGATTAAACACGTCTTCCTTAAATTATAATTTTCCGATGTGAGTTTGACAAACTGAGAATGGCAGGAGTATTTGATATTGAATTGCACGAGGGAGATGCCACAAATCAAGACGAATCAGATGACGATGTAATCGAAACTAGAGAGGTAAAAATTCGTCTAATAATATTTCAATTATATTTATAAATAGTAAAAACAAATCTTTCTCTCTCTCTTCTTCCTCCTTTCCTCTCTCTCTCTCTC